ATACAGTGTTTGCTGTTTTTGCTGTAATTTCACGCCAATACACGACTTTCATAATGGCGGACATCGCGTGAGTCCAGGATCGAGTTGCATGAAAACGGGGTCAGAAAGGCCACACTATCGCGTCGCGTCCCTATTCGTTTGTTAAGGCGAGTAGTTCGAATATTTCAAATCCGACATTTCTTACGGAAAACGATATACCTGGCGCTTCTCTTCTTGGAAGGAAACCTGAGGAGTTAAAAATCTCAGAGATTAAATTTTAGCTTAAATGTTGTAGAGACGCGGTGAAGCGAGTGCATGACTACATATGACCCTGATTTCTGGGTCGAACAAGGGCAGAAACTGCTTTCTAATTACTTTGAACATTTTATTAAGTTGCTTATGGAAAGCTTTTCAATTGAAATTGTCTGGCAAATAACAACAGTGATTGTGAAGTCTTGTGAACAACCTACAGTTTTCCTGCAAAAGCTATTTTGTTATGACATCTCTGGTTTTTTCAACAGAATTGGTAATACCATGCTTCTACATTCAAATATTCTTAATTGGGATCAATATTTGTTTCTGGGCAACCGAGCTCGAAATAGGTGACTCGAGCTCGAAAGCCTATCCGAGCTCGAGTCACAACTCGACTAGAAGGATCCTGAGCAACCGAGCTCGACATAAGTGACTCGAGCTCGAAAGCCTACCCGAGCTCGTTCAGCTCGGTCGGACACGAGCTCGATTTGATTCGAGCGCGATTACCACTCGATTGTGACTCGAGCTCGGGTAGGCTTTCGAGCTCGAGTCACTTATATCGAGCTCGGTTGCTCAGAAACAAATATTGATCCCTTAAGGAAGCAGGCGAATGTAAAAATTGAAATGTTAACTATTCGGTATCAGTTTTCTTACGACACCGTTATCGAGCTCATTGTAATGCAGGAACTAGCTAAGAACGCTTTCTTACACTTGTGTATCGCCCATAAATGGGTTCTCTATTCTTTCTTATTTCGTGGCTGCTAAACTACCGAAAATTACGAAACTTCGTGACCAGATGATGACGCAACTTTTTTGGGTCTTAACCTCTCTTCCCCTCAGCCCCTTCCCCGTTAATATGAGAATAATCCAGAATATTTAAAAGAGATATGGTAAGGGATGGGACATTCATTTTATTGTTGAAACAGGTGTATGTTAGTGTCTAACAAAATGCTCTCCTCCTTTGACGTTCCCTTTCTACCACATATTTAAAGATAACTTTCAACATGCCATTGTAAAGTGCACATGCTATTTGCAAAATTTATTAAAATTCATAATTGATAAATACGCATGATTACCAGCTGATTAATCATAACCACTAAATACTTAATGGATAAAAAAACATGAACATAAATAGAATACAAACTATTTTAAACACTTGCATTAATTTTTTAACCCTCTAACCCCTAGAAGGGATAAACATGAAACTTCTCCCCAGAATATCCTTACATTATCCAACAAATAGGTAATGAGAATACTCATGTTTATCAGGTAGAAATTGTCATCTTGATCCAATACCCAATTTGCATAAGCTATCTACAAGGAATTGTGTAGCAGCTTGAGGGGACAATTAAGAAACAGTTTCAAAAGATTGAGAGTTAACTTTTAATTAACAACTGCCCTACATCTGTTGAATGTGATACAGCACAACAACAATAATTTATATTTTTCTTTGATCAAAATTTATAAACATGCATGATTACTTAGTGAGTAATTATAACCACTAAATACTTAATGAATAACAAACATTAACATAATTAAACAACAAACTAGTTTAAAAACTTGCATTCATTTTTTCACCCTTTGACTCCTAGAAGTGATTAACCCTTTAACTCCCAGATTGAATTTTTAATTCTCCTTACTATCAACCATACAATTCTTATGATGTTAGGTCAGAGAATTTAGTATTGATCAACTAATTAACCCAAAATTGATATTCTTCTTTGGTCTCTTCACTTATCTGGTTGATATTGTATTAATATTGTAGGGAGAAATTCTGTCTGGGTCACTCGTGGCAGTTAAAAGGTTAACAACTTCTTCCCATAAAATCCTTATGTTATCCAACAAATAGGTAACAAGAATACTCAAATTTATAAACATGCATGATTACTTACTGAGTAATCATAACCACTAAATACTTAATGAATAACAAACATTCACGTAATTAAATTACAAACTAGTTTAAAAACTTCCATTAATATTTTTCACCCTTTAACATCTATAAGTGATTAAGAAGTAACTTCTCCCCATAATATCCTTACATTATCCAACATCTGACTACTTCTTCAACTTCTTCCTTTGGCAGCCAGTTCTTTTTTCCCTTTTTTTCTTTTCCCCTTTGGCATTGATTTCCTTTATTTCTTCTTTTTCTACCTTTTCTCCTTCCTCACCTTCCATGCTGGCATCTTCTCTTCTACATTCTCCATCTTTATCTACTCTTGCGTCTTTTTTCTCTTCGCTCTTTTGCTTCTTCTTTTCTCTTTTCTCTTTCCTTTCCTTTTTTCTTCTGTTTTCCATTCTTCTTTCCTTTTTATAATGGTCTTGGTGGTCTTCATCTGTCAGTAAAAGTGATGATGGTTTAATCCCTTTAACAATCAACTCAGGCATTGGTAATGGATTTTACCACCACGTCATTATTGAGGTGATGCAATAAAGAGCATTTTAAGTCTTCTAAGATAATAATTTTGTTCACAAGTTTTGCTAGAAAACCTACCATAAACCTCATAAAGACAATTCTTACCCTCGACTGTCGTTTGCAGGATTTCCTGTTTGCCTAGTGGCACATTTCCCTTGAAGCAAACCTGCAAAGAAATGAAGGGAAGGGAAGTATGCTGCACAAAATGGATAACATGGTGATGAATAATTCAGCTTATAAGCAAATTCATCTGTACAGCATACCTCCCTCAAACATTTCCACTAGAGTAGATACCATTTGCATTGTCTTGCATGTTAATGTTAATGTTATTGTTAGCTTTTATAACAGTGTTACGCAAGTCAATGCCAATGTGTCATCTTCCATAGGGAATGGTGTATCAAAATTACTCTAGGGGAATTCCCTGCCACTCAAAACAAACATACTTAATAAATCCCTTTCTTCTTAAATTTTCATACCTACCATGCAGCTCATTCAAGTATCTCTGGGAGCACTTGATAATAATTGCGTTGAAGGAATTAATGAAATTCAATAACTAAAAGAGAATTTCCCTGTGAGCCTTTTCCCTGTCAAAGGGGAAAAGTCTGGGCAAACTCTCTGATTGTCTTGTCTCTACAAGAGCCTATTCATTCACCAGAAGGGGGAACATTCTTGCCAATCTTATAGTCAGGAGTGAAACAGTCTTTGTCAGTCTCACCCAGGTGTTACGGCACTAAGGCCTCATCCCTGGTCAAGAGAACAGTCTTGTCCATCTCCCCCAAGTGTCGCGGCACTAAGGCCTCGTCCCTGGTCAGGAGAACAGTCTTGTCAATCTCCCCCAAGTGTCGCGGCACTAAGGCCTTGTCCCTGGTCAGGAGAACAGTCTTGTCAATCTCCCCCAAGTGTCGCGGCACTAAGGCCTCGTCCCTGGTCAGGAGAACAGTCTCGTCCATCTCCCCCAAGTGTCGCGGCACTAGGGCCTCGTCCCTGGTCAGGAGAAGAACAGTCTTGTCAGTCTCCCCCAAGTGTCGCGGCACTAAGGCCTCGTCCCTGGTCAGGAGAACAGTATTGTCAATCTCCCCCAAGTGTCGCGGCACTGAGGCCTCGTCCCTGGTCAGGAGAACAGTATTGTCCATCTCCTCCAAGTGTCGCGGCACTAAGGCCTCGTCCCTGGTCAGGAGAACAGTCTTGTCCATCTCCCCCAAGTGTCGCGGCACTGAGGCCTCGTCCCTGGTCAGGAGAACAGTATTGTCAGTCTCCCCCAAGTGTCACTGCACAAAGGCCTTGTCCCTGGTCAGGAGAAGAACAGTCCAGTCAGTCTCCCCCAAGTGTCGCGGCACTAAGGCCTCGTCCCTGGTCAGGAGAACAGTATTGTCCATCTCCCCCAAGTGTCGCGGCACTGAGGCCTCGTCCCTGGTCAGGAGAAGAACAGTCCAGTCAGTCTCCCCCAAGTGTCGCGGCACTAAGGCCTCGTTCCTGGTCAGGAGAACAGTCTTGTCCATCTCCCCCAAGTGTCGCGGCACTGAGGCCTCGTCCCTGGTCAGGAGAAGAACGGTCTTGTCAGTCTCCCCCAAGTGTCACGGCACTAAGGCCTCATCCCTGGTCAGGAGAATAGTCTTGTCCCTATCCCCCAACAAGTGTCGTGGCAGTAAGGCATTATCCCTGGTCGGGAAACCGGCCTTGTCAGTCTCCCTTGAGTGTGTTGTGGTTTAGGAGAGAAACAATAGTCATTTGTCAAGTGTAAGATTTTGTTTGTCTGCCTAAGTTGTTGGATTTGCAAGATTTCCCTTTCCAGGAGAAAATGACAAATCAATTTTTAATTGTGAGGATTTATTTAAATGTTGTCAGGTGATGCTTATCTTGTTCCAGCATGTAATCAATAATAAATTCCAACCTAAGCCCTTAAATGCAGTCAGGTAATGCTTATCTTGTTCCAGCATGTAATTAATAATAAATTCCAAACTAAGCTCTTAATTGAGAACACAGTGTAAAACCAAAAAAGATTCCCTACCTGGTCATCTAGGAGAGCCTTGGCTTCCTCTGGATCCTAAATAGATTTGTGAAGATGTAATTGATATGTTACTGCTGAAATGATTGTTTCGTCTATTAAACCATCTAGCAAAACACCATTTGAAGTATAGGCACTAATTGAATATCGTGTACTGTAATTGAAATTGCGGAGAATACATATTATTCCTAAGTAAAACGTTCGTTTCCTCAGATTGCTCATGCCCAAATTTTCTTCTTTTCTCGTGAAGTTGCAAAGCATCTCGAAGTTGTCGAGCCATGTTACATAATGTGTGGAATATATGAAGTAAGATATGCGTTGTGCCGTATACATGACAAAGAAGATGAAAGATAACTGCTTTTCACAGCTACAATAACAGTAGTGGCCATTACTGGAGTTTTGTTGTGTCTTTACGGACGCTAACAGCCTTTGAAACGTTTGATAAATAACTTCGTGACGGTTCTGTACCGTGGAAAGAGGCGTAAGATCGCCCAGCACCAATCAAGAATTTCGGAATTTTTTACTCTGATAAATCGAAAAAGACAAGGTACGTTGTTTTAACTGAAGTAAAATTAAAGAACTTAATTAAATCAACGGGTTTATTTATTTTTCTTAAAGGTTTTGGCGGCTGCAATAATATTTTATTGTCTTACGATGTTATTTCAGTAACAAAGAGGGGAAAATTTGAACCCGACTGGGACTCTTGTTGTGTAAGAAAAAATCAGTATAATAGATACAAGTTTATGTACGTACCCTCTCGCAGATATCTAGCACCTCCTTGCCCAGAAGGGGATCTTGGTGTTTGACCACGTGCTTTTGTCTCTGCAGAGTAAAATTTAGGGGCATATTCTGTTGTGACCCTGCCCAGTCATACACCTCCTGTTAAGAGATAAAGTTCTTTCAAAAATGTCTCTAATGCGAATTGTAACTAGGAAAAATACAAAATAGCATGCAGTGGGCGGGTGCTCCTTTCATTTGGAAAGTGGGTTGCCTTTTAAACTAGAATTAGGGGTCTGGAGCAGCTTTTTTCTTGTCATGTATTGAGGGTACTTCAAATATTCAGTTAAACTGTAAATCAATATAATTCAGTTTTGTTTCCTCTGATCAGGAAGTATTTGTCAATGAAAAGAGGAGATTACTATATCTAAGTAAGTGACCATGTACATATATAAAATATCTAAATATCTTGAATAAAATGTATTATTTTAAATCCCTAGAAGAGAGAGATGGAAACATTGTGTTTATCATTCCAATAATTGATCATAAATGTATTCATATTAACCACTCATACACAAGTTACTGTAAATACCTGGAAAAGAGCAGTTGCTTTGAATTTGCGTTTCAGTCGGGTACTGCCATACCGTAGGATTATTGTAATGCCCTCTTTGTCCTCAGGCAGTACCCGCTGACCCCTTACCTCTCTTAACTATGAAATTAAAAGGGAAAAACATTTCTTATGTTTTGTTCTGCTGAACTTCGTTGACTTCATTCCAAGTAGAGAGGAGGGGGAATTAAAACACCAAAGAGGTCTGTCGGCCAGAAAATAACTGCAGCAATTATCTAGTAATTTTGAGAGGTTACCTTTACAAGCATTGCTGGAGCTATCTATGGAGTCGTTCTTTTGATTCCAATATTCTCTATTCATAGTGATGTAAACTTTTTACCTAATGTTATAGAAAGATTTTTTTCTTTCTTTTATCTCCTGGTTGGTCTTGTAGTATGTAGGCAATATTGGAAATTATTGTTTTTAAAAAATGAAAAGTTTTGCTCCTACTCATCACCAAAGACACTAGCATGACATTAAATATTTGATGAATACTCCAGGACATACTTCTCTATGTTCATTGGCCTGGTTTTTCTGTTGACATAAACTTATACTTTTATCATTCATCAATGTCAAAACTTTATGAATTGGCTTTAGTGGAACGCAACATATTGTAAGGATATGTTAGAGACATTTTAGAGGTATGTAATATTATACTATTCACCTCCATATCCATCTTAGTGGTTTGATCCTCCTTTTTATTGCTGACAGAAAAATATAGAACAATTTGCCTCAGTTAGGTACACTTTGAAACCTGGACTGTAAAAGTGGTACATGTAGCATGTTTTTTCTGAAAGTAAGTTAGGTGCTACAAGCAAATTTGGGCCACTGTTTGATTTAATATGGTTCTCTATGACTCGTATATGAGTCATGACAAGTGTCTACTTTATGGGATTAATAATAAAGGAATTTTGTTGAGCTGATTATCTTACCATTTCTTCTTTAAATTCAGAAGGGCCAATTGGCCCTGCTGAATGCAATCTTCAATGTCACCCATGTTGATGTTGGCAAGGGTCTGGCCTAAACAAAACAAGTTATGAACTTTCAAGGAAGAGTGTCTTTCAACATTGCAACTTTTGGTGTTGGCAAGGAAGGTAATCTCAACTACTGCAAAAGATGTTTCCTCTTTTTCCTTGCCAATATCTTGTGTATCATTTTCATCCTTCTGTCAAGTGCATATTGTATTTTCATTGTGATTGCATGATTGAAAGGGTAAGTGCTGTACTGTGTATGTTTGAAAAGTGCAGATTACAGAAAATGGTAAATAATGTATGTATGAAGGTTACTCTTAAATATGAAAACCTACCTGAAAAACGTTCAACCAGGACTGGCCTGCCAGAGGTTGGTGCCAGGAAAAAAATCTGACTCTCGTCATTATTTAGGCCAAACTTTGATATCACTGAAAAAAGAAAGATTTTTACGAAACTCTCTATGATAAAATAGTAGTATCCATCTGCAATTGATGTAAACTACTTGAACAATAAATAACTTGAGAGAAAAATTTTTTAATCAGCTTTGAATGGTAAATCTTTGAGTGAAGTTGTTGGTGATAATATATCAAAACATAGTATACTCGCCACAATGAACAACACCAACTCTTTTTACAGTATATCATTATTGTAAGTTCTATTTTATTACATTTACCATAGTATCCAATTTTAAAATGTTTTAACGATGACAACTTTCCAGTAAAACACAATGTAGTTATGTGCAGCTGAGTGCTGCAGAGGGCATCCATTATCTGTAAGGTCTATAATTACTGAAGGGAACCTTTTTTACCTGTCATACTTTTATCATGTTTGTGTGTAAATGTATGGACAATGATCAGATGAAAGCTGACTAAACGGAGAATTTTTCTGGCTTTCTTCTTGAATTGCTATACTGCTTAATTCTCTTCAGTGTACACCATCTATACCAAGAATCAGCTTTGGGATAATTGATTTACCTCTTCTCCCACTTGCACTCTCCATACATGCCATCCAGTAGTACAGATCAACTGATAATGTTTGGAGCATGCTACAAATTCTGCAGATAGTTAAAAATAGAAACAAAACTGATTACTTTTAAGGATTTGTTGACAAATGGGAATTATTCTCACTTTGATAACCTGAGTATGGAATTTGATATAAGTTGGAAAATTGTAAAACATGTGCATACTCTAGTTGTTGGAGTGTTGTGTCATGTCATGTTTAGTAACATAATGCTATGACTTCTGGAAATGGCTGATATATGACCTGTCTCAGTTTCTGACCAGGAATCCCTTAGCCTTTATTTGAATTTCTAGTACTAGGCAATGAAATTTGAACTTCAAGGTAATGCTGTCTTAATAACTACACTGTAGCTGTACAGGCACAAGATCCTAATTTTAAAACAACAAACAGCAAGCAGCTAACCTTTGCACAGGATCAAAATTATCGCCCAGTTTTATGATAATTAGTGTAAACATTTTAAAATCTCTCTTTGCCTGGTAGCATATCTGCAAAAAAGCAAGCAAGAGAAGCATTTAATTGAGGAAAATTTGGTTTTTTCAGAGAAATCTACTTTTCCAGTTCTTTAACAGAATTGAAATGTGTTTGGAAGGAGAGTTTGATTTGAAATTTCTTTGTAATGATAGTGGTCCTTGTTGCAAATGCTATTAAGAATGCAGAGGAAGGGGTTGTTGCTGGACAATTTATTTTTGGGTATTCTTTGGGGTGTTTTGATTGGGTAGGAGCTTAATGGAAACCTGTTGAAAGCCAAATCACTAAAATTTAAGTCCTATTTCTTCTTTTCCCTCCCTCAGTGAAAGGGAAATTGAAGCATTACTTAGAGCTTTATGTAGTTTCACTCAAATACCTTGTATGCTTAGAGTAGGGAGCCCCTATAACCACATTAGTCGCAACTCTAACATGCACACTAGGTTTTGTAGTTATGGTGTAGCACTTTTTTGTAGCCACATGCAAAGGAAGTGGACAAAAATGTACATGTATGGAACCTTCCACACATATCTTTGCATTTTTCGCATATGTTTAGCACACTAGTTAGACACAGATTTCCATGTATAGTGGAGCTATAATATTCAATACTAGCCTCTTCAAAGGTGAGATTTAAGAAGACAGGTAAGGACTCTAGCACAGCATAGTTTTGGTAAAGTTCCCTCTCACATAGAAGTACCTCCTCCACCCTGTCCAGTCTCCCTAATGCCACTAGGGAAGCAAATAACCAACACAATTGAATTTGTTAAGTGGTACACATGAAAGAAAGACATTAAGCTCGAGTCACTGTCACTTATGTCGAGCTCGGTTGCTCAGGATCCTTCTAGTCGAGTTGTGACTCGAGCTCGGATAGGCTTTCGAGCTCGAGTCACCTATTTCGAGCTCGGTTGCCCAGAAACAAATATTGATCCCTTAATTGTCGTGAATTTACTAGTTGACTGGGAATTAAAACCTTACATGAATAAATTCTTACTGGTTTGTAGTTTTAATTTGTAGTGGGTTAAAATTTGTCCAACCAGTTTGATTTTTAATCTGCTTTGTTTCAAAGTATGCTAAAGAATACAAAGGAAAATTAAAACCAAACTGGTTTAAACATTTTGCACCAAAGGTAATTTAAACACAACAAAGACAACATGGTCTTTACAGACAGAAAAGAAGTCACTCAATTATGATGTAACCCTTACAATAAATAGTCAGAACAGAGGGGAAAATGTTGTCTTTATCTTAATACCCAATTTGTAGCCCCTTACAATCTCGGGAGAGAAGAGATTTGTAGGCAATTTATGGGTTAAGTAATTCATTCATGCCCCACACGAATGTGATATTCACATTGATGTTATGTTAGTTTGTGCATTACAACAGAATGCACACACTGCCCACATCTGGTTTATAATTCCCATTTGATGTAGTGGAACAACTCTGTCCCAGATGCGAAAATTCTTAATCTTGTTAAAGGCAGGTTCAACGTGTATCTGTAAACTTGCAATTTCCTGTGTTTTTACCACATCTTCTACAGCCATCTGAGTAGATGCTCCAAGAAAGGGTGGCAAATTTAAACTGACTTCCAAAGGCAACAAATCCTAAACTATGAACCTTTATCTGCCATAATGGAGTCTTTGTCATCAAATGGTAGATTTAAGAATCCACTCCATCTGACAATTTCTCGATCAGAGATAGAACCTGTATACAGTTGATACAATCTGTTCTTTCTTGTATTCAAGCGAAATCGGAGACGATAACATGTTTAATTATCCTCCAACTTATACGACAGGATTTGTCCAGAACTAAAGTATATTCCCCAGGGTTATTTAAGACCATATAAATCGGGTTCAATAACTTGACTTGACTTGAAGGGTTATTTAAGACCATATAAATCGGGTTCAATAACTTGACCGGCTTAGAAGGCATTTCCGGTGCGTGAGTATCGATGACTGAACCAAAACAACTTGCGCATGAAACATTATCCCAAACCCTGACACAATGGACAAGATAATTTTATCGCATTCCTACGAGGTAAAATTTTGAAATAGGGTTAAAGGTTACTTCCCACCTTCGTGGGTGTCCTTCGGGAAAAAATTCGTACGCGCGTTAGTTGCAATAAAATCCGAGCAAACTATATATCAGAAGAAAGCTTAATTAATAACTGCAGGTAACGATGAAAATATAAGTTAAGCGACTTGTCTTTTCAGGAAGTTTCAGGAGCCAGTAAGGCGTGAAACGACCGAAAATTCTTCTATTGAATATATCGGGTATCGGATGCCGCAGTACGAGCATAATGTCTGCACAGAACAAAGTGTGTCGGGCTTTTGATATTCTGATTGATTGTTTAGATATCGGCATCTAATGGAGTCTGTCTTTTTGTCGAGGGTAGAGGGTCGAGGGTTTCATGTCGATGGCGAGGGTACAGTGTCGAGGGTACCTTTTTTCCCATTTTTTTCTTTTTTTCTAATTAATGAAGAAAAATTAAACCGATTTTAACTAAAATAATAAAAAATAATTAAAGAAAAAAAAAATTTTCAAGATACGGATTGCACGTGGACATCAAATTTTTTTCACATGGACATCGTGGACATCGCCCCAAAAAATAGCGAGTTGGGGAGGGGTAAGATTGTGAATAGCACGTGGACATCCCAGTTCGTTTTTAAAAACCTGATAGTTTTAAAATAATTAAATTAAGAACCCACAGAAAGCTCATATTCGCCGAATGATCGGCGATCATAAATCTGGTTAGATTTCCCGTGTTATTGTAACATCACGAAGCGAAGAAATATGACCAAAAGAAGCAAAGAAAAAGCGCGATGTCTTTATAGATAGTTTCAAACATGGGGTGTAATCCAGCTGTTAATGAAACTCTCCTGACATGTCCAAGCTCCAGACAATAAAATTTACCGAGCAGAGTCGGTCACATTTACTGACTTCTACGTTTTTCCAACGGAAAATATCGGCAAGCAACATTAGCCACCACAGTTCCACTTCGCAGGTTTCGTAGGTTTTTACGCAAGAAGTGATTGGCAGCGGCCTGGGCTAATTGGAAAACAAACCAAGGGAAGTCGCGAGGAATACCTGATCGCGATTTCCGATGTCGGTGATTAACTCCTTTGTTTGCGAAACAGATTAAATCGATATTTGCGCTTTCCCATATGGCACACTCTAAATTCCCCAAATAGCATATTCTCCTCTTAAAAACCAAAATTCTTATCAGAATAATCATTTTAATGGTGATTCTTTCAAGAATCTTGAAACAAGATTGAATAGAAGAGAGAATTCTTGTGGTAAGAATGCATTACATCTGAATATCTTTAGAAGAACCTCTATTTCAGAAGCTCTTGCCCCAAGAATCGGGAATTCTTTTCTCGAGAACGAGAATTCTTTTCAGCAGGCAATGAAGTAGAGAGTTCTTCTGCATATAATTTTTATTGCAAATCTCATGCACAGAATTGCAATTTCAAAAACTCTTGCTACAAGAATCAGGAATTCTTTTCTCAAGTAGGAGAATTCTTTTTAGCAGGCAATGAAGCAGAGAGTTCTTCTGGAAAGAATATTTAATGACAAATCTTACGAACAGAATTGCAATTTCAGAAACCCTTTCCACAAGAATCCGGAATTCTTTTTCTCAAGAACGAGGATTCTGGCAGGCAAATAAGTAGAAGGTTCTTCTGGAAAGAATGTTTAATTGTAGATCTTGTGAAAAGAATCGCAGTTTCAGAATTCATTAGATAAGAGGAAGAACCCCTTATGACCAAAATTTTATTAAGTTAACCTCTATTGCTAGTAACTTTGGTAATTATAGACCAAATTATCTGATGAAGTCTGATAAAGCTTTGCTTCAATACAGCGGTGGAGTAGGTACAAGAACGATTCGCTGGGAAAACGAAATACGATGCCGTAGCCGCGATAATTTACATTAAATTTTCAACATTCTCATGAACATTCTCAACACCAAAATTAATAACTTTGGAAGCGAAAGACTTACCTGGAGGTTTGAGCAGTTCCAAAATAGTCCTTAAATTTTTGTTTTTGGAATCTGTTGTGATAGCAGGTGAAATGAGAAAAGAGAAATGCGTGATGCTAAACGTTTGGTAACCGCTCTATATCCGATTTCGGTTGCGCGGGCTCAATAAACGTTTTTAACGGCTTTCAAAAAAGTGCGCCGAATAATAGGTTTGTCGTTGCCTTGAGAATATTTTTTGATTTTTTAATATATAAGATGGTTGTTTTTTTATCTTTAAATATGATTTTCCATGATATTTCCCCTGAGCTAAGTTGAACTCGGAAATAGTTAAGGATAGGATTAGGAAGTAACAGGTTGTAGTCGATCGACTGTAATCATTAGAATGAAGTAACTGTGTGAAATGGGACCTATGACAGATTTTAATTTAATTAAGTTTATACTATATTGTAGGAAAAGAATTTTAGTGAATTAAAATTTATGATTTCATTATGTAAGTAACTAAGTATTTCAAAATGTTTCATTAAAGAGTATTATTATTCTCAAGTTTTAAAAAAAAACTATTATTATTATTATTATTATTTATTCATTTATATGTCTTTTTTAAGAATGGCTACAAAAGATCATGTCGCTGGCTATGCAAAGTATTTTGGGAGTAGATTTGCAAACTTATCTCCAGAAGCAACAACAGAGGAGCAGATAAAAGATGTGTACAAAGAATGGGCGAGCAAGTTTGATGAGGTAATTCCTTACAGCCAGGAGCTGAGTAGCGATATTGTGAGCTATTTTTTTCAAAGCACAGAACAAATTTAACCCTTTTACCCCAAACAGTAAACGGTTTCTAATTTCTTCTTACAGTATCCCCCTTGATTCAAATCTACATGTCATGAGAATAATGGAGATGATCACCAATAAGAAGCCTGACGACCAAAAAAGTTCTCCTTGGTATTACTATAGGAAATGTAGAGAGATCGGCGCCGAGAAAATGAATACTAATGTTAGGGAGTCTCCTTCGAGGAGACTCAGAAAAATTATTTCAATGAGATATGAAAACAAAAAAAGGAAAGAAAAATAACACAAGAATGATGAAGGGTGGTTAAGGTTGGTAAAGTTTAAAGCGATTTACATATGACGAGCTTAAGAATAATTTTGTACAAAAGTTAATGTACAGCTGTTGCTCATTAATTCCAGTGCAAGAGGTACGGTTAATACATGAGGATACCACGGGCCTGCGCATGACTAATTTATCCATGGAACTGCTGATCGCAGAATCGGTGAACCTTTCGAAACTGAAGATCTTGGAACTTGTAAAACCGAGGGAAATAACTGTTTTTTTTTTTACTAAGTAGGGCAACAACAAAATTCTCTATCTTCCACAAGTTTCGCCGTTCAGCGGTTCGCAATTCTGTTCATAAGTCAAACCGCGGGGTCTTTAGTGATATATTTCTCCAGAGAAGAATGTTCCCTGAACTTATGCGATGGTTCAAACACATACTACGCGCTGATATTTTGCGAGTTAGCGAGCAATGAGCAAAATTCTCTCGCGTATTATCCATTGCAAGCTAATTAATTTCTTTACAGGAAAACTCTAACGCACGGATCGTCTGCCACAAGCCCCAAGCTGAATGCTTAGACTCTGCCATTAAGAAATACCTGGACAAACCGAAAGAGGAAATTAAAATCATTGATTGTGGAGCTGGCACGGGCAGGGCTGGTGTCGAGCTCAACAAACTTGGGTACACCAACCTGTGTGCTCTGGACATTTCACAAGAAATGTTGGATGAGGCGAAGAAGAAAAAAATCTACCAAAAATTTATCTGCGCCCCTCTAAATGACCAGCAAAGTCCTGAGGTTAAAACCGGAGAGTACGACGCCATGATTTGCATTGGTACGCTGGCTTCTGCGCATGTCAAACCTGCAGCTTTGGTTGAAATGATTCGGATGATCAGGACTGGTAAGCTTAAAAGTAGTTAGATAGTCCTATTTCATAACATAGTGTGCTCGCTCTGGGAATGACACTGGTGAGGTAAGAGACGTTTCCCCAAGTTGAACAGACGAATATATTGAAGTTTTTTCATCTATTAAAGTTTCGAATGTGAAACTCGCGGCTTGGAGAGATTCAAAATGGTGACGTTCATGGTTGAATTCTGAGCTCGTTTGAAGATGGTATATGAAAGGATAGGTAACTTTTAAAATCTCAAATTGCGATCAGTGAAATATCTTCATATACAAATTTTGATGGCCGAGAAGCAAATCGTATAAGTTATCTATAGCAAAGTTTGCCTTTAGCCCTCCTCCCCCATTCCCCCAACCCACCCCCACTCAACGAAAAAAAGCAACAGATGTTCTGGAAGTGGAAAGAAGTACTTCAGCAATGTTTCCCTAAATTAAGGGGCGCTGAGTCAAAATTTCTTTCTTCTTTTGGTTTCCATCGCAGGTGGTCTGGTGAGTTTTAACATTCGGTATGGTGAGCTAGAAGTCTACCAACCAAAAATGGAAGAGCTGGAGAAAGCACGCAGCTGGGAAAAAGTATCTAAAGATACAGTGCCTCAGTTTGATGTAGATGACATGCCTCCGACTTCTACTTTCTTTGTTTACAAAGTCTTGAAATGTTAGTGCTACCACTAACAAGACCACAACGAGGATGAAGTAGATGAATCAAATCTTTTGAGAATAAAACACAGGTTTTTTCTGGAAACAGATTGTCTTTTCCTCTTTGACCTTTAGCTACAGAGAATCTATTTCCATGGTAGATTAAATTACTCTGTGCTGAAAGAAGTGAATTCATCAGACAAATAAGGGTCTATTTGTATAGGTAATCACATGATTTCGAGTGCAATTTGGAATAAATAAGCACGAGTAAATTTTTTTAAAGACTAACAAAATTGCACGAGCCCGTAGGGCGGGTTCAATTTGTGGTCTTTGAAAAAATTAACAAGTGCTTGTTTATTCCAAATTGCACGAGAAAAATCATGTGATTACGTGTTACTAACATACATGGAAAAATACAAGATGGCTTATCATAATGAAGCATGAGCAAAGCGCGCGCATCAAGTGCAAAAATGAAGAAATGTAAAATGATTTCCGTGTTTACATAGCCTGATGTAAACACGTGAGAGGTTGGGAGAACACGAGATAAGCTTAGGAAACCATCGATAAAGAGCTTTCTAACTTACAGCTTAGGTGCAGGAATTTCTTTTCGTTCCCTAGTTTTTTAAGCAATGCCAAACAATTGTCACTGTGTAGTGTTTTTAGCACTTTCAGAGCAAATGTAAAACATGAATCATTCTACAGAATCTGTGACCTGAAGTGAAGAAAATTGTGATCAGCTCACGGCTGATTTGATACAGCTGTTGTGTACCGGTTCCCAGCGAATATTATTGTTTCTAGTTCAACTCTATCTTCCCTTGAACTTGCAATGTCCATATTCTTTGACGGTTGAGGAGATCCTCAACAAGTGCCCAGTTTTGGCAAAGGTGTGTGCCCTTATAAAGGTCTTGTTGATGAAATGAAAGGAATCGCCGGAAACTGCCCTGATTCATATACGGGTGTCCTTTAAAGAATCTGATAACCATGGGTGAGTACGTAGGCAAACTGGCCGAAATGCGAGATAAGACTGCCACTCCAAAGGGTCGGGCTGCATTCGAGAAGTTGATGAAGAGGGTCATAAGATCTCTAAGGGGGCTGAGAAGAAAGGCTGGACCTTGGCCATTCCCTTCAGATACCTGCTCAGTCTTTACCCGTAATGCACATGGAAAGCGCATCATGCTAAAATACAATTAGGCTTCTTCAGAGTGGAAGAAGAAGGATCTGACTGAGCCAGGAACAGTTTAAGTACTTCTTTGCAGAAGTGCCTTTTAATTCCATTTTGGTGTCTTGTTTAAGGGTACGTTTTTAAGTTAGTCAGAGACATCATTCCATCTCTGTTCGCTCCGTCAATTCAGCAATATTCAGTGGAGACATCATTCCATCTCTGTTCGCTCCGTGGCCTGGGGCCAACATCCTGGAACTTCTGAAATCTGAAAGGCGCGCGAAACCAAATTGTGTTTCCTTTGCTTTTGGAGTGCTTTGTACGTGTGGCATTAATTATTCTGCGATTTTTACAGCACTTCAAAGGTAAGTTTGAGAGTGTTTGTTACTGTATGTTGTTTGCATTTTCGAGATTTAGTATATTTGTGCCTTAGAGTTTATAAATTGATTTTCATCTATATGCGAGAGGGCTTGAGGACATGGCACAGAGTAAATTCGGCCGCGGATCGAGTTAAGCCATCTTGAAGAACCGCAGTAGGATCTAGTCTGAGTAAAGACAGCCCTGTTCTTTCTCTTTGCAGAGTGAGACCTTGACTTTTTGGATGACCTTTAAGCATTTTTCTACCCACACCAGAGTATTGTCCTTGAATTTTACGGACAACCTCTTCAGGGGAATCATCACTGATATCTCTGTATTTACCTTCGAATATGCCACGTGTGCCCAAATGGGTCTATTCTAATTCGTTCTTTGCCATTCATTACATGCAAATGCGTGTACTCTTTCACACAATCGCGATCACTGGAGGAATTTGCATTTCACTCGAATTAGTGGTTTTAATATGCGTTCCTGCGATAAAAATAATTCAAAGTTGATCATTTAAATAATTGTGGCTAGAAAAAGCGCTCTTCATTTTGATTAGTACAGATGGATTTCGTTCATGCAACATGTTTGAAAACTTAACTAGTAGCTTAGAAGTCCATCATGAAGCACTATTTTTAATAAGGGACTGCACGCGAAGAGCCGGAGGGTCATTTGACAAAGACCATTCTTCCAAAATCCACCTTTCTTGAGTAATGCGATAACTAACCATTAACCGCGAGAAAAAGCCAGAAGTATACCAGTAGGGATCTAGGATAGAGCAAACCTATGGTCTAAGTCACTAAAATTCTCAAAATAAATCACATCAATAGCATCACGTTTACGGGAAGAAATCCCTATGTACTGCTTAAATATATATGCTCTCTGTTTTCGTAAGCATCAATGCATTTAGTATTACAAGAGTGAGTATGCCAGTTGAGGTTGACGCCGCGGGTATGTATAGGGCGTTTTTCCCTCCTAGGCCGAAACCGCCGAGCAGACATTATTTACAGTTCCCCGTGTATATAACTGCAAATATAAATTCGGTGTATTGGGGGAAAAATCGCGATTTGACCAAGTAGGCGCGCAAGCTGGTACCGGTTAATTTTCTCAGTAGGCGCGCAAGATGTTGCTGGGTAATCTCGGCAACTCGAGGTCATTCTCACTTGTTCACAACCTGGAACAACATAGAGACCTTAAGCAAGAACGACGGGAACATGGACTACGACGTATACGACCGATTGAGGCCCGGGACGAGACTGTCGTCTACGGCGGGAAACACAAACACTTGAGCACACCAGTTACGTGGACGAGGATCGTGGAAGAGTCTATAGTTTTCGTTACAATCACAGGAAAAATGTCTTTCAGAGAATTTCGTGAGCTGCTCATACTTCTTTATGGCGATAACATTGTTCAGATGAAGAGTTTTTACTGCTTTACGATAACTTCAAAACAAAAAGTCCCGAATTCCCTCATGGAAACTACGAGCAATTCGATCTGGATTCTACGAACTCCACCGAATGCAAAGCAGAGTTTCGTGTCGAGAAGCAAGGCTTCCCTCGCCTTGTCGCAGCATTCAGACTACCATCAGTGTTAAGATGTGAACAGAGAAGTATTTGTGACGTCATGGAAGACCTATGTATGCTTTTCAAAAGAGTTGCCTACCCATGCCGGCTCAGCGATATGATTCCGCGATTTGGCCGACCAGTTTCTGTAATAAGTCTAATCACAAATGATATCTCGGACTACATCAATGACGTTTATGGACACCTTATAACCCAGTGGAATCAAGATCTCCTGAATCATGGGGCTTCACAGCTTTACGCAAATGCTATATCAGGACATGGAGCCCCCCTCGACAAGTGCTTTGGTTTCGTCGATGGGACTGCCAGACCTTTTTCAAGACCTGATAAACGTAATAATTGTTTATATTGGTCATAAGAGGGTCCATGCCTTAAAATTCCAATCGTTGTCTTTACCAAATGGACTCATTGGAAATTTATATGGACCAGCTGGTGAGTTCTTTTGTGACATCAAATTATAGTTTTTAGTAACATAAACTTCCTAAGCAACTTCTATTCTCAACTTTGATTTTTTTTCTTCGTTTTAGAGGGATATAAACACGACGCAGGGATGTTCGCACCCACGGGAATTGGCGGGGTGCCCGCTAAATACGGGTGGACCGTTGAGGTTGTACAGAAGAATGGTAATGTAAAACAGGAAAAAAAACGCCATTTATGCCATAATTGACTACTTATGTAATAAAACTAGCTCAAAAATACTACTACATGGATTGAGTTTTAGTTCGAAGATTATTCTTAGTTTTGTTTGTGTGGTTCTACTCCAAATAACCGTTCAACACAAGTGAAAGATGATACAAACAGGCCGTTCGAACTCAAAGGTAACCACGCCTGCTTACTAGAGGAAACTGCTCAATAGAGGTGAAATTTACGGCGACTAATGGGAAACAAATTCGGGACTTTGACAACTGACCGCTAAATAAGGCGCCGCTTAATACAGGTTCGACTGTATGATAAACGACGAATCACATAGGAGAATTAGATACAAACAGTTTTTACTATTATAGTGCGTGCAGTGCTGCTCATCAGTTTCGTTTCATTATTTTACAGTGTTTTTCGTTTCCTTTCTGGACAAATATAAGGCAGTTTATTCTCCAGTAAATAAATTTTGCATATATTACAAATGCTGGGGGCAGTTTTTAGCGCGAACTATTACCAGTTAAGTCATATTTTGGGATATTCGCAAGATAGAGGGCTATTTTAATCGGACCGACATTAAAGATTCATCCTTAAAAAATTATGTACAGGGTAAGAACTTCATCGCTGATCCAGATATGATGTCGTGCAAATTACAAGTTGAATAAGTAAGTTTTATCCCCTGATGTGTTCGGAGAAATAGAAGCATAAACAGTTTTTATTTTTCGTTTTTATTTATCAAGGTCCCTATCATAAACCATTAACACCATAGTGGCACCCGTAAGTCATACAATATTTTTGTACTTTAACTTATGCTGAGTGGTTTTATTTTCTAGCCGCCATTATGTCTGGGAGTTTTCATTTAAAGTTAGAAACCAAGAGCTTCGTACAACATAATTGTCATACATACTTACTTGTTGGGAATCTTAAATTTGGAGAAACTACGTTCTCTGGTGCACGACTCTAAAGGCTTTCTATTACTTATAAGCATAACGAGGACAAAACGAGGCTTTTGTTTACTTCTTCTCAGAAGTTTGGGTCGGATATGGTAAGTAAAACATGAAAGAGGAAACTTTGCTTTTGAAAGGAAGAAGGCTCTTTCTCGGTTAGCGGTTGTCATGCGAGCATGGCGTGGATTTGTCAGCTGTGTTAATTTTACTCTTACAGTCAATTTTCTTTATGATTTTTCGTTATTTCCTGATTATCGATTGTACCAGAATGGTAAACTGATAAGATAGCTCGAGAAAAAACTAAAATGGAGGCGATTTTGAGATCTATTTTGGATGAAATCTTAGAATCCAAACTGACGGCCATCTTGCCATCCATCTTAGACGCAAAGCTGAAGGCTTACGAGGAATGG